CGGGGGGGCCCCCCCGGGCCCGGCCGCAGCTCCAGGGCCGTCACCCGCCGCGCCAGGATGTCCGTCACGGCCTCAATGTCGTCCACAGGCTCAATAGCTATGGGGCAAGGACGTGGGGGTCAGGAGAAACGTCTCCCAGAACCACCAGCTCACCCCTGCCCCCCCCCCCACGCACCCCCTGCTGGGAGATGCTGGGGCTGCAGTAGCCCAGAGGCCCCCCCCGACAGCGCTCCTGCCCTGCTCCCTAGACATGACCCTGGCTGGTCACTGCCCCGGGAGACAGGGGGGGTGTCCCTGGGGCAACAAGCATGTGGGGGGGGCCAATTTGGTCCTGTGTTTGCGGAGGGGGGGTACTGCAGATAAAGGCCACTTGGAGCAAGGGCCCTGGTGGTGTCTGGGCCTGGCACAGCTCCATGCGCCCCCCGCCCGTACGTCACCTGTCACTGTAATAGGAGGAGAGAAGCGCCCGAATCTCAGCGGAGACGGCGTTATCCTGGAGCAGGAGCCCCTCGCAGGCCGCGGGCGGCACCGCAGGGCCAGGCAGAGCTGGTGCCCGGGGGCAGCCGGGGGAGGGACAGAGGCAAAAGAAGGGGAGGGAGGGCAGCGCCAGGAGGGGAGAGAAAGGGGAGTGGTTACAGAAACATACACCCAGGGGTGTGAGTCAGACAGGGGCAGCGAGTGGGGGGATCACCCCCCCAGCAGCTGGGTTAGCAGAGAGCGGGCAAGGGCCCTGCAGACAGGAAGCCAAGACAGACTGAGAGTGCACAGACCCTGTGCCCAGGGCCCCCCCCCCAGTCTCCCCCGTGCCAGAGACAGCCTGCCCCCCAATGCTGGGCCCTCCGCACCCATTCCCAGGACAGGGACCGCGGGGGAGCCCCTTACCCATCTCGTGGTACAGGGAGCCCTGCTTGGCCAGCAGGGCTGGGGGCTTGCGTGGGGACGGCACCTCGATCTTCATGAGCTCGTCGCAACACTGCTTCCACTGGCCTGCAAGGAGGGGAAGGGGCAGGGTCACTCCACAGCCCCCCAAGCAGCCGGGGGGCCAGGCCCGGGGCGTCTGTGCCCTGGACATGCCAGCCGGGAAGGATGGACGTGCACTGCCCCCATGTGGCTGCTTTGTGTATTGACACCAGCTGCACTTGGTGCCTCATCCCCCCCTCTGCGCCGGCTTCTGGGGCAGCCCCCTGGTGCCCTTTACCCACACACAGACGCGCTGGGGGCCAGCACCCGGGCACTCCGGCAGGCCCAGCTGCCCGCCCCGGCTATGGCATGGCCTGAGTGCACAGGATCAGCTGTTTGAGCCCAGAGCACAGCTCCCAGCCCCACTCGCTGCGCTGCCCAGGGCCCCCAGCCCACTCTGCGTCGGCCTGGCTCTGCCCCCCGTGGGCCTGGGCTCCCACTGGGCCCTACTGCCAGGCCCAGAGTGCCCCCCCGGCCTCAGGCTGTGCCCCCCCAACCCGCTCCCCCGAGCCTCTAGCTGTGCCCCCCCGGCCTCAGGCTGTGCCCCCCCAGCCCGCTCCCCCCAGGCTCTAGCTGTGCCCCCCCGGCCTCAGGCTGTGCCCCCCCGGCCCGCTCCCGCGAGCCTCTAGCTGTGCCCCCCCGGCCTCAGGCTGTGCCCCCCCAACCCACTCCCGCGAGCCTCTAGCTGTGCCCCCCCGGCCTCAG